CATTTTTGGATGACCATCTTAGGACTGGTCTATTTGTCTAAGAAGCATTCTCGTTTTTGGATGATCATCTTAGGACTGGTCTATTTGTCTGAGAAGCATTCTCGGTTTTGGATGACCATCTTAGGACTGGTATATTTATAACTTACAAGAACGCAGAAAAATAAAGCGACGAAAGAAACTGCCTTTTTTTAGATTAAAGGTTTCATTTTCACATACTTTTTATTAGCTTTTCATTTTTCTAATATTTTTATTTTAAGCCGCTATAAGTTTCATTGTAGCAGAATTTGTCATTCGTTTTTATTCTACCGTGAATATAATTCTTGATTTTTTAAAATGTTATTCGCGTGAGTTATAATTTACTCACAAAAGTTTATAGGTTCAGTATATCAGATTAGTTAAAGATATAGTGTTTACGAAATTTGTCTATGACCTTGCATGACGTGTTGGTTAGAGCGCGCTCTCTATTCGCAATCTGTGCATCGCGAGATAAAAACCCGTTGCCGAACATCTCGACCTTTCACCCTTGAGAGATATATTGTGTCGGTAAATCTCTCTATTAGTCTGGAAAAGAGTAGTCCAAGAGTTGGCGGTGGGTGGTGTTGACTAGATACCTTCTCTCTTTCTATCGCTTCAAAATTAGGGACGGATAGCGGAGATATCTCTCGAGTAGCTTTGTCCGAATTGAAACAAACACAGTTTATGTTCAACTAACCATAAACGAATCAAATCAAGAGCTTACAGAACTAACGAGATGATCTCTGACCTCAAGAAAATATTTGAAGTTCGTTGTCGAATTTCTTGTTATTTAACCATCAGTAGAAGCTTAACACTATTGTTTTGACATCAGTTAGGTACAGAATATAAACAACTGTAGCTAAGATACCTATAAAATGGAAACTTAACACTATTGTATTGACACCAGATAGGTACAGAATATAAACAGCTGTAGTTAATATACCTATAAAATGAAAACTTAACACTATTGTATTGACACCAGTTAGGTACAGAATATAAACATCTGTAGTTAATATACCTATAAAATGTAACCTTAACACTATTGTATTGACACCAGTTAGGTACAGCAGCTGTAGTTAAGATTCTCCTAAGTAGAAACTGAATGCTACTGTATTGATATAACTATCGCACATCCAGAGTGGACAGCCTGTAGATAATCGCAGTGACTTTAAGTGATTTATATTCAATAGCATGTTTGTCAAACAACAAATAATGACGTTAACAAACATTGAGTTTCTAAACGTTATTGTCTACGTATTTGTATTGTTTGAGCTAGCACTTTGAAAGTTGAAATATTTAACTCTACCTGATAAGTCAGTGCAGATTGAGTATACTCCCCCATGTAGAGGAACGAGGTAGACGAAACCCTCAGAACTGCCGTTCCATTTCTGTTGATTGTAGTAGGTGGCGATCTTCTCCACATCTCGAGGGACGTTGTAGTATGCAGCCTTAACACGGGCCACCTGGTTACTCACCCACATCACCCTGTGCTGGCTGTTATTGGCGACGTTGTGTACCTGGTTCCGCCTGAAAATGACGGCCTCCCAGTGATTTGTGAGCAGGGCGACGGAAAGACATGCTGTTGCCGCGGCAGTGATCACTACTGTGGTCCAACAGAAGATGCAAGTAAATGAGAAACAAGACTCTTGTTGTTTGTTGCTGTTTTCCATCTCCGTTTGTTCCAAATTCTTGTTGCCAGCCTGCTGACGCTCGGGGATCTTTGGAGGTAGAATAGGTATTTCTCTCTTTATAAATAGTCGGAGCCAGTCCATACGGAACCCTAAAATATAGAAGCTCCTGTTGTTTTAAATTTCCTATCAGGACGTAGAGATCATTGACTAACACTAGATCATATACAGCAAACTGCGAAATCCTCACGAAAACGTATCCTCTAACAGTCTTTAAAACAAAGATTTTTAGTAACTACTGCATGACGTGTTTCGAAAGTTTTCTGTGGTCGGATCTAACCGCACGGTTTCAATTCCTTAGCGTGATCAAACTCGTGCCTCTCGAATTGCCAGCCAGCAGGAAGCACTGAGTAACAACCCTGCGCGCAGCTCGTGTGCACGCGACGTTTAAATGGCTAGTAACGCTAACGCTCGAGCCGTGAAAGTACCTGGTTACGAGGCTACACTACGTTCATTTTGGTGGGTCTAAAACCTAGCCTATTTGAAGTGAATACAACATTCGTAATAAGTTTGAGTAATAAAAACATTAATTTGAAAAAAAAAAATAAAGACTTATCTAATGCTTGATGCTGTCATTTTAACGGATAGAGACGCCTCTCAGAAGTTGCTTGATGCTGTCATATTGACTAATAGAGACACTTCTCCGAAGATGAGCAACAAAATACCGAGATTATAATTTACCACCTTAGAGGGGGGTTGGTTTTGGTTTTGTTTTGTACAACTACAGCTCTTGAGTGACTTGTGTCACGTGATTCTTGCACCAAGAACACATTTTCATGAAAAGAGCAGGTTTACTGAGTATTGTTATGTGTGATCAAGTACAAGGATGGATCTATTGAATATTGTTGTGTGTGACTTAGTACAAGGATAGACCTATTGAATATTGTTGTGTGTGACTTAGTACAAGGATGGATCTATTGAATATTGTTGTGTGTGACTTAGTACAAGGATAGACCTATTGAATATTGTTGTGTGTGTGACGTAGTACAAGGATAGACCTATTGAATATTGTTGTGTGTGACTTAGTACAAGGATAGACTTATTGAATATTGTTGTGTGTGACTTAGTACAAGGATAGACCTATTGAATATTGTTGTGTGTGACTTAGTACAAGGATAGACCTATTGAATATTGTTGTGTGTGACTTAGTACAAGGATGGATCTATTGAATATTTTTGTGTGTGACGTAGTACAAGGATGGATCTATTGAATATTGTTGTGTGTGACTTAGTACAAGGATGGATCTATTGAATATTGTTGTGTGTGTGACGTAGTACAAGGATGGATCTATTGAATATTGTTGTGTGTGTGACGTAGTACAAGGATAGAACTATTGAATATTGTTGTGTGTGTGACTTAGTACAAGGATGGATCTATTGAATATTGTTGTGTGTGACTTAGTACAAGGATAGACCTATTGAATATTGTTGTGTGTGCCTTAGTACAAGGATAGACCTATTGAATATTGTTGTGTGTGACTTAGTACAAGGATAGACCTATTGAATATTGTTGTGTGTGACTTAGTACAAGGATAGACCTATTGAATATTGTTGTGTGTGTAACTTAGTACAAGGATAGAACTATTGAATATTGTTGTGTGTGTGACGTAGTACAAGGATAGACCTATTGAATATTGTTGTGTGTGACGTAGTACAAGGATAGACCTGTTGAATATTGTTGTGTGTGACTTAGTACAAGGATGGATCTGTTGAATATTGTTGTGTGTGACGTAGTACAAGGATAGACCTATTGAATATTGTTGTGTGTGACGTAGTACAAGGATAGACCTATTGAATATTGTTATCTGTGATTTAATACTAATAAAATCTATTGGATGTTACTGTGTGTGACTTAGTATATGTGTATATGTATTGATTATTGTTATCTGTGATTTGGTACTAGAAAAATCTATTGAATGCTGTTGTGTGTGACCTAGTTCAAGGGTAGTTCTACTGAGTATTGTTATTTGTGACTTATTACAAGGGTATATCTATTGTATATTCTTATGTGTGACCTAGTACAAGAGTAAATCTACTGACTATTGATATCTGTGACCTGGTTCAAAGTAGATGTACTAACTATTGTTATCTGTGACTTAGTTCAAAGCAGATCTACTGACTATTGTTATCTGTGACTTGGTTCAAGGTAGATCTACTGACTATTGATATCTGTGACCTGGTTCAAAGTAGATGTACTAACTATTGTTATCTGTGACTTGGTTCAAAGTAGATGTACTAACTATTGTTATCTGTGACTTAGTTCAAAGTAGATGTACTAACTATTGTTATCTGTGACTTAGTGCAAAGTAGATCTACTGACTTTTGTTATCTGTGACTTAGTTCAAGGTAGATCCACCTAACCACTAGATACATTGTTGTTGTTGTCAGTTAAACGAAGTTACATAACCACTAGATATATTGTTGTTGTTGCCAGTTAAACGAAGAGTTACATAACCACTAGATACATTGTTATTGTTGCCAGTTAAACGAAGAGTTACATAACCACTAGATACATTGTTGTTGTTTCCAGTTAAACGAAGCTACATAACCACTAGATACATTGTTGTTGTTTCCAGTTAAACGAAGTTACATAACCACTAGATACATTGTTGTTGCAAGTTGAACGAAGAGTTACTTAACCACTAGATACATTGTTGTTGTTGCCAGTTAAACGAAGAATTACATAACCACTAGATACATTGTTGTTGTTGTCAGTTAAACGAAGTTACATAACCACTAGATACATTGTTGTTGTTTCCAGTTAAACGAAGAGTTACATAACCACTAGATACATTATTGTTGCCAGTTGAACGAAGAGTTACATAACAACTAGATACATTGTTGTTGTTTCCAGTTAAACGAAGCTACATAACCACTAGATACATTGTTGTTGTTGTTGCCAGTTAAACGAAGAGTTACATAACCACTAGATACATTGTTGTTGTTGTTGCCAGTTAAACGAAGAGTTACATAACCATTAGA